GGGAGAAAAAAAAACCTCTTGAGGCCAAAGGGCCAGAGGGGTTTCATTCTTTTTGTTATATACCGTCAAACAGAACTGCCCGGCAAACCGGAGGCAGATATCGAGAAGAGGACAAAAAACGAGCGGCTGTGACATGTATTAACATCTCACTGGCAGGCCACCTCTACCTAGGGGATAGTAAGAGAACCACCACCTCCCCCCCCAAAACAAAAAGGTTGGACTGCATAGTTGATGGCTCTAGTCTACCTTTACTCAGCTGATTACGTTGGGATTCGAACTCCGGGTCTGTCTACTTCAACAGTTCATGGGCGTAACCCAACTGAGCTATTCAATGGAGGACCAGAACATGCGAGAAACCGTGCCCAGCATCCAAAGTAGACGGCGCAACTTTGAGTCAAACTAAGTCTTGTGATGCTGAGACCATTGTCACCATTTGCATGAGAGAGCAAGAAAATCAAGCCTAAGAAAATTAATATTATAACATTTCACCCGGCCAATACAACAAGCCTAGGAATACTACCGTCTTCACCCCAATAGAACGTCGCCCAGTCACAAAAAGAAAAAGAAAAAGAAAAAGAAGGGAAAAAAAGATAGCCAACTCAGTATTGATATATATATGTAGACTGGGACTTTGGCAGTTTGCCCCAAACACAGCTACAATGACCAGCCGCAAACACAGATATAGTGACCCTACGTTCTATTGGGTGAGGAAGGTAGTCTCCAAAGAGCAACATGAAGATAGTTTTCTCCCAACATCCTCCTGTCCATCCGATTAATCTATAGAGAATATACTGATTACTGAATTCGCAACAAATCCGAACGGGCTCCAAGGGAATTTATGTGGTACTGCAATTATCTCTGGAGGCTGAAAATCTAAATTTCTTCTCGGCGTGGGACACATCAAACGAGGAGAGATCAATCAATCAATCAATCAATCAATCAATCAATCAATCAGTTAATCAACCAATCAATCAGTCAATCAATCAATCAATCAATCAATCCATGCAACCTCTAGGGGCTAGAAATCTAAATGCCTACTCAGCCTGGGACCCAGCAACCAAGGAGAGGTCAATCAACCAATCAATCAATCTGTTAATCAATTGGTTAATCAATTGGTTAATCAATCAATCAAGCAATCAAGCAAGCAAGCAAGCAATCAATCTACTGATCGATCAATCAATCAATCAATCAATTAATCAATCAATCAATCAATCAATCAATCAATCAATTGATCCATCAATCTATTGCTCAATCAATCAATCAATCGGTTAATCTATCAATCAATCAACCAATCAACCAATCGAAGTGAATAGATGTATATCCAAACTAAAGAAAGTAAACAAAGAATCAATCAATCAATCAATCGGTTAATCTATCAATCAATCAACCAATTAACCAATCAACCAATCAACCAATCAAAGTGAATAGATGTCTATCCAAAGTAAACAAAGGACTGTGGGAACCCACTATTTTTGTCATCAATCAATAAGGTCACCAAAATCCTGCTACCCGGTATTTTAATCATCAATCAATAAGATCTTTTAAACGACCACATCCATCCTGTCATTCTTAGAATTCACATTTTTTCTAGGCTACCAGAGTGGCGGCAGACCACTTGCCCGGCCGCGCCCAAAGAAATTGCAAAAATAATATAAAGTAAATATATATATTTTTTAATTTGGTAAAGAATTTTGAAGAGGCAAAAGTTGTTCAGTTTTTTTTTTTTTTTTTTTTTTTTTTTTTTTTTTTTTCTTTTTTTTTTTTTTTTTTTTTTTTTTTTTTTTTTTTTTTTTTTTTTGCTGGGACCTTCCCTGGTTCTTCCACAGCTGGGCCGCCGGGGAAACAAGGGCGGAGGTCCCACTAGTAAAAAGGATAGGATAGAGCTCCTGAATCTGGATGTGTTTTAAGCACAGATGCAGAAAAGCAGTTCAATCTCGATTTCCTGCACATCTCCATAAACTCGTCCAGATTCAGGCATTCGATTCGATCCTCTTTGCTAGTGGGACCACGCCCAAGGTGATCCAGGCCACGTGGCTGGTAGCCCAGCTTACTTCTATAAGAAATAAAGTTGGCTACTTTGACAGCGATCTCTCATCACCACAGGTCGTTCATTAATATACAGTCCCGACGGGTGTTAAAAAATAAATAAATAAAAAAAATCTACGCTACCAGTCGGGCCGCGGCCCGGCCGTGCAAGGATCAGGGAAGGTCCCAGAAAAAAAAAAAAAAAAAAAAAAAAAAAAAAAAACGAAACAAAAACTATGTTATGCAGAAAAATAAACTAAACGACGTTTGCCTCAGGGTCACATCGAAATTCCTTGCCAATTTTAAAATAATAAATAATTAAAATAAACAACAATATTTTTTTTTCTTTTTTTTTAATTTGTTTTTGGCCCGGCCAGGCAAGTGGTCCGGGGCCACTCTGGTAGCCTAGCAGTTAATCATAATATACTGTTGTAGTGTTGCTTTTATTAAAAAAAAAAAAAAAAACATCCCATACGTGCGCTAACTGCGAACTACTTTAAAACAATAAATAAATAAATAAATAAATAAATAAATAAATAATCAAAACTACTGTATTATTAATATTCATTCCTTAATGAATCCTTATCCATTTGCATTCCTCTCTCTCTCTCTCTCTCTCTCTCTCTCTCTCTCTCTCTCTCTCTCTCTCTCTCTCTCTCTCTCTCTCCCATTTTTTACTCCACAGTAGTTTACCATTGACGTCACCGAAATCTGTTATAGGTCGCGCCTCAGACATAATGGGCCTGTTTCCGCCAGTCACCACATGCACTAATGACAAAAATAATGGCCATCTATCTTTCAGCAGAATATTCGTTTTCATTTCTCACATTTGGTGAGCGGTGGAGCGAAGCCGAATTTGTACACCTACAGCATTATATTGCCTTGGGCACTGCGGCCGACCCCAAAAACAATCCTCTCCAAAAAACAAGAACGGAAGTTAAGGAACAAAGATATACGTAAGGCCTATATACGAACGTTCCTGTGGTGTTGCGGAACAGGGTTGCAGTCATGCGCTGGGGACGTATCAATCATATATAAACGGATTCTCGAACTGAATCAGATCCGCTCTCGACTACAAGAAGAAGAAGAAGAAGAAGAAGAAGAAGAAGAAGAGGAAGAAGAAGCGCACTTGCTTTTAATCAACATGCAAACACACGTTTTAACACACCAAAGGAGAAGAGAAGAAGAAGAAGAAGAAGCGCACGGAAGAAGAAGAAGAAGAAGAAGAAGAAGAAGAAGAAGAAGAAGAAGAAGAAGAAGAAGAATTTGCACTTGTCTCCACATAAAATACGCAGTATAAAGTTATAAACTGTATAATAATCTAGGCTACCAGAGCGGCCCGGGACCAATTGCCCGGCCGGGCCAAAAAAAAAAAAAAACTTCAATTTTTTTTTTGTTTTTCAAATTTGGTAACGAATTTCGATGTGACCCTGAGGCAAAAGTTGTTCACATTTTTTTTCTGCATAAGATAGTTTTTTTTTTTCCCTTTTTTGGCGGCACCCTCCTGTGTCCTTGCACGGCCCGGGCCGCCCGGGGGGGCGGGGGGAGAGGAATCAAAGTGACCGGGCGGCCCGGGCGGTAGGCTTGATAATAATCAGTTAAAAAAAGTAATTCGCATTTCTTATGCAAATGAAACACACTTATTACAGAAAATATATTTGGGTAGTTCGCAAGATATATCCTGG